GCAAAGCCACGACCAAGCTGTTCTTTAGCAGATACATAAATGGTTATATTGTTGAATTCCCATCCCAATCTTCAAGCTCAGATCAAGCTACAGCTCCCTATGTCATTCATAAAGACGTCTAATCCATTAATCCATGGGCCATCTGGAAGAAGAAACTGTAAGATTACTTTTAGAGTCCTCTGGGTGGTAGATATATGTGAGTTTGTCAACTGCTTTGCAGCTACATTGATTAGGAGGAGAGAGAATGGTTGCATCTGGTCAGCGTCTGGCTAGAAAAGAAGCTTTAAATATGTTGTAAAATTGTACTGTTGTCATCTGAGAAACCTAAAGCTGATTTGGGATTTTATTTTTCTTGAATTGATGGTTGCTAAAGTGCCTTTCTATACGCACTAAATTAAACTTACTACCAGAGTGCTAAGGATGGAAAGCCATATACAGTTGTAGCCCTCTTTATTGGAGGGTAATGAGAACTGGCCCTCTCAAACATGACATTGAGAGAAAACCTGTAGGTAAACCAGAACTTTCACTTAATAGAAGAGTGGGTTTCATAATAAAGTTGGCAGTGCCTCCATCCAAGACAGGGTCTCTGTGAACAGAGTGGATTCCCTTCCTGGGAAATTAACAAGCAATCTAATCAAAGTAGTTGGAAACAGAGGAACTACTGCAGCGGGCATATAACATTAACCATAGGTATTTAAATGTAAGTCAGCATGGAAATAATATAAGTTGTATTAAAGAAAAGATTAATAATAGTAAATACAGTACATCCAATGTACAAACAGGTGAAATCAGCAAAGGGCCCAACATGAGTCTTGCTGGAATTATGCACATATACCCTGGTTTATATAGTCATTAATAAAGATACCTCCAGACAGTGTTAAATTTTACACCATATTTCGATTTAGTTTTAGTCATATTTTGTGCTGTTTTAGTTTTAGTCATATTTTAGTCATCTGGATAGTTTTAGTTTACGTGATATATATATAACCTAAAATTATTTTAGTCAACTAAAATATCACAATGGAATAATCTGTGTATGTAGTGCATGTTCAAACCTTAATACCATAATTAAAAACATGTTATATGATTTTTTTTACTCCAATGAGTTTGGAAATTCTAGAAAAAAGCATAAAAAATGCATTACAACTTAACTAAACCCATTAGATTTTAGTTGACTTAAATTATTTTAGTTGACTAATATGTACTTATTTCAATTTAGTTTTACCCATAGTCTTTTGACTAAAATGCCATTTTAATTTTAGTTTTATTTATTCATCTAAATTGTTTTAGTTTTAGTTGTATTTTAGAAGACCTGAAGACAAAATCAGCAAGGATGGTGAGATCCTCCAGCTGTTGTCCAACAGCTTGGAACACAGCTTTTCATCTGCAGAAACTGTGCTGTGGCTCTGGAACTTAATGTCAGCCTATCTACTCTGCATCTTAGTCCCTAGTAGATTTTAATCTGCAAAGCAACTGGACCTCTATCTACTTGAGTGGCTAGTGGATACCTAACCTGGCTCTAGCCTCTACTGGTTTTTGAACCCTGAGCTAAAACTAGGTATAGAATCCCAGACAAGAAGGGACATTGACTAAAATAACAAGAGCTGCATATAAACTCCTTTGCAATAAACAGGTTCATCTACCAATGTACAGCAAGGTGGCCACAAGGTGGATACCTAATCTGGCTCTACCCTCTACTGGTTTTTGAACCCTGAGCTAAAACTAGGTATAGATTCCCAGACAAGAAGGGACATTGACTAAAATAACAAGAGCTGCATATAAACTCCATTGCAATAAACAGGTTCATCTACCAATGTACAGCAAGGTGGCCACTGCACACGAATACCGTATTACAGACTTAGTTATCTGGTATAGGGCATGTATGATAAGGGGACAGATATAATTTTGTCACAAGTCTTTAGATATATACACCGATCAGCCATGATTTTGTGACCACTGACAGGTAAAGTGAATAATACTGATTATATATGTACAAAGACACCTGGAAGTGGGTGGTATATATTAGGCAGCAAGTGAACATCTTGTCCCTGAAGCTGATGTGTTGAAAGCATATAAAATGAGCAAGAGTAAGGATTTGAGCGACTCTGACAAGGGCAATCGCTAGATGACTGGGTCAGAGCAACTCCAAAACTGTAGCTCTTGTGGCATGTCCCCTGTCCGCAGAGGTCAGAACCTACCAAAAGCGGTCCAAGAAAGGAAAACTAGTGAACCGGTGACAGGCTCATGGGCAGCCAAGGTTTATTAATTGCATGTGGGGAGCAAAGGCTGGCCCCATGTATTCATATCCAATAGAGGAGCTAATGTAACTCAAATTGCTGAAAAGGTTATGGTGATCTTGGTTGTACCAGGACAATGCAATGTATTTAATTGCGCATTTTTGTTTCATTTTGATTACCCTCTGCTCATACCATGGGTACTTAGCAGTGTCTACAAGCATAAATAAAAATACATGAAGATACTGAATTCACACAATTTCCATCCCATGTGTCAGGACATTTGATCAACAGGTCAATCAAGTAATACTGTCTGAATCCTAATATGTGCCTCAAAACCTTCCAGTAAAAATGATCACTCACTGGGCCACATACTTGTTCTTGTACAGTAAATTACATGTTCAGTCACTGCAAGGGTAGGGACTGTCCCAGAACCTGCACACGGCTCAGGAGTGTAGGGCTGTACTCAGAGGCTTTTTTCATATAAAGTCATGGCCAAAAATATTGGCACCCCTGCATTTCTGTCAGATAATGTACCACTTCGCCCAATGTATTGTTGCAATTACAAATGTTTAGGCATTCTCATGTATTTTTCTTTTGTTTGTATTGGTATGACACAAAAAAAAAGTGGAGAAACAAATACACAAATCTGACACATTCCATGCAAACCCCCAAAAATGGACTGGACAAAATTATTGGCACCCTCACTTTAATATTTGGTAGCATACCACTTGGAAAAAATAACTAAAATCAATCGCTTCCTGTAACTATCAATGAGTTTCTTACACCTCTCTACTGGAATTTTGAACCACTCCTCTTTAGCCAACTGCTCCAGGGTTCCTTTTCTCAACTGCTGTTTTGAGATCTCTCCACAGGTGCTCTATGGGACTGAGTTCTAGACTCATTGCTGGCCAGTTCAGCACCCTCCAGCGCTTTCTGACACTGGGCCCCTACATTGCACCCCAGAATTCTTTGGTAGTCTTCAGATTTCATATTGTCATGCACACGATCAAGACATCTAGTGCCTGAAGCAGCAAAGCCACCCAAAAACATTCTCCCAAAAGGATTTTGGCTTTCTCAAGTAAATTTTGGCAAACTCCAATCTGGCTTTTTTAATGTTTCTGTGTCAGTAGTGGTGTCCTCCTGGGTTTCCTACCATAGTGTCCCTTTTCATTCAGATGGTGACGCATAGTGCAAGCTGACACAGTTGTACCCTGTGCCTGAAGATCAGCTTGAATTTGTCTGGAAGCTGATTGAGGTTCTTTAACCACCATTTGAACAATCCATTGCAATCTTTGATTATGTTTTTCTCTTTCGTCCACATCCAGGAAGATTAGCTACAGTACCATGTGCTGTAAACCTCTTGACAATATTGTGCACAGTGGACACAGGAACATTAAGATCTATTAACTGATACTGGTGAGTTTAATTACAAATTGCAGGAGCATCACAAACTTGGAATGGAATTATTTCTTACAATTTTGAGAAGGTGCCAATAATTTTGTCCACTCCATTTATGGGGTTTTGTGTGGAATGTGTCAGATTTGGCTTTTTGTTTGTCCACTTTTTTGTGTCATACCAATACAAACAAAAGAAATAAACATTGCAACAATTTTTTGGCAAAGTGGTGCATTATCTGACAGAAATGCAGGGGTGCCAATATTTTTGTCCATGACTGTATATACCCTCAGGATAAATTACTTTTAAATCAAATTTTTATAGTTGTTAAAAGTCTGTCATTATCCATTACAGCTTTAAAGTGAAACTATTAGTAATTCTACAATTTTCATGAATACATTCCTGAAATGTCACAATATAGAAAGCAATTAGACTGGTAGTTACTTCTACATTTAGGCTGAGTATTAACCAGCCACTTAGGTTACTAACTAACCCGATGCCCAAGCCAGACATATATACTTTTCAAGCAACCACCGTTATACTGGGGCATAAAGCAGAGTTATGGAAATCTCAGGACTGGATATACAAATCATTTGGCAGTAAGACAGCTCCCCTATATGCTATATTGCCAAAAATATTGGGATGCCTGCCTTTACACGCACATGAACTTTAATGGCATCCCAGTCTTAGTCCGTAGGGTTCAATATTCAGTTGGCCCGCCCTTTGCAGCTATAACAGATTTAACTGTTCCGGGAAGGCTGTCCATAAGGTTTAGGAGTGTGTCTATGGGAATGTTTGACCATTCTTCCAGAAGTGCATTTGTGAGGTCAGGCAATGATGTCGGATGAGAAGGCCTGGCTTGCAGTCTCTACTCTAATTCATGCCAAAGGTCTTCTATCTGGTTGAAGTCAGGACTCTGTGTATGCCAGTCAAGTTCCTCCACCCCAAACTCGCTCATTCATGTCTTTATGGACCTTACTTTGTACACTGGTGCGCAGTCATGCTGGAACAGGAAGGGGTCATCCCCAAACTCTTCCCACAAAGTTGGGAGCATGAATTTGTCCAAAATGTCTTGTTATGCTGCCGACTTAAGAGTTTCCTTCACTGGAACTAAGGGGTCAAGTCCAACCCCTGAAAAACAACCCCACACCATAATCCCCCCTCCACAAAACTTTACACTTGGCACAATGCAATCAGGCAAGTTCTATTCTCCTGGCAACCCCAAACCTAGATACGACCATCAGATTGCCAGACAGAGAAGCATGATTCGTCTCTCCAGAGAACACGTCTCCACTGCTCTAGAGTCCAGTGGTGGCATGCTTTACACCACGGCATCCGACACTTTGCATTGCACTTGGTGATGTAAGGCTTGGATGCAGCTGCTCAGCCATGGAAACCCATTCCATTAAGCTCTTTATGCAGTGCTGTTGTGCCAATCTGAAGGCCACAGCAAGTTTGGAGGTCTTTAGCTACCGACTTAGCAGACAGTTGGCGACTTCTGCACACTGTGCGCTTCAGCATGCGCTGACCCCACTCATTTAGTTTACGTGGTCTACCACCTGGTGCTGAGTTGCTGTTGTTTCCAGTTGATTTCACTTTATTATAATACCACTAACAGTTGACTGTGGAATATTTAGTAGCAAGGAAATTTCACGGGTGGACTTATTGCACAGGTGGCAACCTATCACGGTACCACACTTGAATTCACTGAGCTCCTGAGAGTGACCCATCCTTTCACAAATGTTTGTAGAAGCAGTCTGCATGCCTAGGTGCTTGATTGTATGCACCTGTGGCCATGGAGGTGATAGGAACACCTGAATCCAATGATTTGGAGGGGTGTATCAATACTTTTGGCAATATAGTGTATACTGTATATTTCATATGTGTATTTAAGTGTTTTCCTGGTATTTAACATCTTAATTGCAGTAGAAGTTATCAGTGAAAATATACTCAAAGGCAGAATTATTTTACCACTTGGAGTCCAGCTGCAAGGGCAACCATAATCTTGGAATAGACTATACCAAATTCACCCACGTTCAGTAAGAAACTCTATAGCTGCTGCATACAACACAGTGTGTGATCCAATAGTTTGGTTTTTCAATATACAATATAAAGTACATTGCTCTTTAACGGTACAATGGACACATTTCATCAAAAAACAATCACAATAAAATTAAGGTGCAATATGTGACATAATTAGCATTCTTCAGAGTGCTTCTCTAAATGTCCTTTATAATGAAAAGTACCTTGTGCAAATAAAATTCAACACCGTCCACAATGTGCCTCCACCGTCACTCAGGAGAACTCACCAAAAGAGCAAGTCAGTATGCACCTTATTCCCACAGGGTATCAATTGTCCAAGAATTGCACCAATTTATCCTTACAGCCTCTCCAGGAATATCATAGAAAGAGAGAAGAGCTCCAACAGCGTAAAAACCTTTTATTAAAATGACTTTTTGCACCACAACAACCAAAATCTTGTACACTTACATTAAAAAGTGTATTCCGCCATGCACCTGCAAACATTAACATTATAGTCCAGCTTCACCGTCCCTAATGTAAGCTCAGTCCACATTCCCGATCTGAATTCTGCTGAGCGCATCCGGAAGTGGTGAGATATACGGTACTATATATTTCCCGGACAGATCGGGAAAGCAGGTTTTTTTTTTATGTAAGTTTTTATGCCTTCGGGGTTGGCTATGGACAATTTTAGGTAACATAGTTTTGTTGCATTTCACAGGCATGCCTAATTTTAAATCTTGACATGTTTGGTATCTTTTTATTAAGTGCAACATCATCTTTTGTATTTTACCAAAAATGGGTATTTTATTGTGTTTTGTGTCCTAAAATTAATTTAAGTGTTTTTTTTACTGAAATTTACGTTTCATAACAGACTGTGAAAATATTGCATGACATATAACATCACAATCATTCTATTCCCCGGGTCCTTTGCTTGTAGATAATGTATATGTTTTGTGATTCTAAGTAATTTTCGAGCACAAAAATGATGATTTTAACATGTTTATTAAAGTCAAAATTTGATAGTACAACAAAATGTTCACACAAAATGTATCAGTGCAATGCAATGTGCATAAGATAGTGGAGCTATATCAATTTTGTTTTTTTTATAGATTGTTTAATAATGAAAGACTAATGCTTCTGAAAATGGTTAGCTTTACACTTTTTTACAACTACAGCATATCAGTGAAAGATTTAATAGCACAACTGTCTTATATTTATCATTACTACGCAGAAGAACTTGTCATTTGAGCTCATCTGTCTCCATAAGGGATGATTTAAATTCATTTTATGGATGACTCTTTTGCCAGTTATCCTTGCACTATGATATATTGTGGCCTGGTCATGTTCATTCCCTCCTTCCATGCCACTTTACACCTCAGCAGAAGTAAAAAAAACCTCAACAATCTCATCCAGTAATGGGTTTACATGCATGCTATAAATCATTTGAGACGCACAATTTGCTCAAATAATTCTAAACAACTTTGAATGATATATATTTATTTGCTGGCAGAGCTTTGTCTGCCTCTGACAAATATTTTTTTTCAATGATAACTATCATATAGAGAGGTGTACTTGGAGTGACATATCCACAAGTGACATCTCTTTGAAGCTTAACAGAGGCAGACATAAAGAGGCCTATCACCACCCTCTGGCAAGACACTAACCCTTTTAAACTGCTCAGTTGTTCAACACTATTGGAATATTAGGGCATGTAAGCTGCATCAATAGCTTGGAGAACAAAAAACTGGTTTAATCCAAAGTCAACCATAGAAATGTCATGATTATTATGCAAAATAGGTAGTGTCACCAACATATAGGGTTAGTACGGCTGCCTATGAGGCATCTCTGGTAGCGTTTGTCTGATATCCTTTATCATAGGTAAAAGTTTTAGGAAGGGTTAATCTGCAAATACAGTATGATTTTTTTTTTTATATTTTACATATTGCCAGACTGGCTTTGGATCTACCAACATATCCAGTTTTGGACTCTGAAGGAAAGGTTAAAATAGATCTAAACCTCCAATAGGGGCCCATTTATAATGGAGAGTGGATATCGCTATCCACCTTCCACTATAGATTCATTATTACTCCACACCTTGGCCTGCATTTTACAGCCCATGCTGTGGAGGCCTCATGCTGGGGTGTGGAGCTTCTGGTTTGACATGGAGCTTTCTCTCTGCGTAGAGAAGAATTACCACTAATTGTACATATATGTACTTTGGGATTACCCCTGCATTGTTGTACAGTTTATTATTTATTGCATAAAACTGAAATTTTCTAGATGGCGTTGTAGTGGATTGTGATAGACAGTCCACGTTTTATTAGATGATCAGTAAAATGACAATTTTATAGTCTTGCTACTTTCTGCTTCTTGCTCTTTAAATTCCTTACTCTCTTATGTAAACAATCAGATATAGGTTGACAGAACAATGATGATAATTAAGATGACGCCTTCATCCGGAGTCTCACCCTAGGTGACTCATTAGGAGAAAAGTATCTTTTAATGTAAACAACCCCCATAAAAGGGAATGAGTCTTTTTGGGGACAATGATTGGAAGATATCAACACGGATGGAAGAACACGCAGAAACCCAGTGGACTTTTCACCCAATCAATGTATATGCTTTGCCTGCATCATAAGCCCTATAAATGATACTGTTTGTTCCTCAATAAAACAGAATTTTAGAAAGTTGGCAAACTGCAACTGTGTCAGTGTCTTGCTTCCACGTGCACGTAATTCTATATTAATTTGGCTCACTGGTAGATCACGGTAAATGGTCTGTAGGTGACCCAGTCCAAAACAGCGTCTTGTCTGGTCCCATTAAATTACTGCCACCTAGTTAGCCCCACCCACAAGGTGACCGAGCTAGCCTGGGTTTGTGTTCAGCTGCTGCACTTGCATGGACCATACAGGCCCGTTTGACTCTGAACCCCAGTGTATATCTCTAGGTTGTACTTTCAATTTTGTGCACAAGCTTCACTGATGGGGAGATTTACAGCTAAACTTCTGTGGGCTCCACCTATTAATGCCACCAATGGGCACACAGTATACCACAGATTTGTCAATATAAATTCTCACATACATAAATATGTCCTGAAAATGCTTCCCATGGTGAGTAAAAATAGGGAACAATAATACTTGGATCAGGGCAAATGTGGGATCCCATGACCCATGTAGGTGTTCCTACATCTTCTAACCCTGTATCAAAGGCCCTGATAACTGGATTTGGCAGGAGGAGTGAAATAAATGACAAATCACCGGAATTCAGTAAAGCCCTGACTATATTTTTCTGGCAATATGGTCCACTATAATGGTCTGCACAAAATTCAAAGATCCATTCCCCTACTTCTGATAGCTTTATCGACACATGCTGTAAATTCAGGTAGTTATTATTGTCGCAACTTTCACAAAGTGACATTATTACTGCACCAAATTCAAAATAATTACCTCCAGTTCATAATGCCAACTGGAGGTAATCAACACCAACTTTAATTTTGTGTACAGAGACTGGCAGGGTTCTTGTCTCTGTACACGGTGTAGCAGGTGGAATATTTGCTGCCACTCTCTCCTCAACTCCACACCTGTCATTGGTTATTATGCATGCTGCCGACTTCACAGCTGACAGCCCCCAAGCAACCAGTGTTGTTGACAGTGGGTGGAGCCTGATGGGAAAGCTGTGACACTAGTTTCCCATCAGGTTTGCTCTCTCTCCTTTTGATCAACAGCAGGCTGTCTACTGGCTATAAGTCTGCCCACTGCCTCCTGTTAATCACAAGGAGGGCAGACCTGTGAATCTCCATCAGGCTCCACCTACCCAGCTTTAAAGATCAGCAGGGTGGGAGGGGAGGGAGGGCAGGAAGGAGGGCACAAGGGAGTGGAAGCAGGGATCTCAGCTGCACTGAGGATAGAGTGTCTGTATGGGCACCCCAGTCTTACTGCACTTCTTATGTGGTGCATGCTTCAGATTCATTTACGTGTTTACAATAGGTACATACATTTGTGGCCCGCACAAATTTAATAATGGGTCTTTGAGCTGCCAGGAGTCCCCTCTAGCCATCAGTACATATACAGGAATAGGGACAGTAATGTCATCACTCCTGTCAGGTAGCGGCTAGCGAGTCGACTCAGTGCTGGTGAGGAAGAGAGAGTCAGGAGAATGAGTGGGATGTGCCTCTCCATCAGCTCCTCATTCATCCTCATTGGCCAGAGGGAGCAAGAGACTCCTGCATGGAACTCGTTGAAGGCCTGGACTAAAGATAAGTGAAGGGGGAATTGCAGGTGGACTGGGCTTCTATTATTAATATTATCATTGCCACATAATATTGGTGAGTTTGTGGAAATTTCCCTGAGGAAGTCACATATGCAGTGACGAAACACATAGGTACAGAACCCTGGATGACGCCACAACACTCATTCTGAGATGGCAGTGTGGTAACTGTTTGGCCTTCATATGCGAAATTGCACAAGCTGGTAAATTTGCATCTTTTAGGCTGTATACATGTGGTGTAATCTGGTACCTTTTAACCACTTCCCGACCGGCCATTGTATATAAACGGCCGGACGGTGGCACTGCAGGGTCGGGTGGCCGTCTATAAACGGCCTCCCCGCACCCTGCTTGTGCGCGCTCCCTGGGAGCACGCAGCACCGCGATCCGGTGCCCGCTGTGTCCTCCGGACACAGTGAAACACCGATCGTCAGACGGGACCTCTCTACGAGGTCCCGATAATGTGATCACTGATTGG